AATGGGCAAAGGGTTTGAATAAACATTTCTCATATGATATGAAATGGGCAATAAGCACATCAAAAGATACTCAATGGTACTGTTAGAGAGATGAAAATGAAACATAAGGCAGTGTCACCTCATACCATCAGGATGGCTCCAAACTAAAAACAGACAGTAATGAGTTCTAGTGAACATGTGGAGAGATAAGAACCCTCATACACTCTTGGGGGAATTCCACAATGGTGCAACCACTATGGAAAACAGTATGATGGCTCCCAAATATTAAAAAGAATACGTGTGTGTGTGTACGTATGTATGTATGTATGTATAAATAAACAAATAAATAAATAAATAGAATAATCATATGATCCCAATCCCACTTCTGGGTATGTATAAAAGAACTAAAAGCGAGGACTAGAAGAGATACTTGCACACTCGCATTCAGAGCAGCTTTATTCACAAGAATCAAGAGGTAGAAGCAATCCAAATGCCCACTGAGAGAATAATGGTTTAAAAAAATGTGGTACATACATACGATAGAGTATTATTCAGCTTTAAAAGGAAAGGAAATCCTGTCACATGCTACATGGATAAACCTTGAGGACTTTATGCTGTTAACTGACTAGTCACAAAAAGACAAACTCCTGGGCTGGAGGCATGGCTCAAGTGGCAGAGCTACTAGCACTGTTCTGAGTTCAAACTCCAGTACAGTCGAAAAATAAAATACAACTGGTGAGGATGACAGTGTGAGGAAACAGGTGAATTCTCAAACTACTGATGGGAATGTAAACTGGTACAACTTCTCTCAAGGTTACTCTTTCAAATCTCCAAGTTCAGTATCTATCCAGAAGAACAAGACATATATAACAAGAAATATACAAGCAGGAAATAACTGGAACCTGAGAACCTGACACTGGGAGGAGCATGGGAGGCGGTAGACTGTGGCCTGCAGCCTGAGCACAAGCCTAGCACCCACTGTGCCCTGTCTGCTGTGCTATGCACAGGAACTGATCTGCTCTCAGTGCATAAATTCAGAGAAATATGAATGAGTTAACAATAGGAAATGGTATTAGGGCAGTGGGAATTACCAGTTCTGGACAGGAAGCTTTGGGAGGTGTTTACTACAGTCTGCCTGAAGTTGGGACAAAACTAAAAGTGAGGTGAGTTTAGTGCTTTGGAAAAGTGTGAAAGTTTTGTGAACTCTATTCTCTTCTATTAGAAGTAACTGAAGTCAATGAAATTAATTAAGTAGTTGAAGTAAAACCAGGGCTAGTCAACAAATCGTTAGGAAGACGGCCAGCTGATAAAGATGAATGACAATGAACTAGATAAACTAATGAGTGAAGAGGCGAAGAAGAAACACATAAAACCACTGGATTCAGGTGGCTCATACCTGTAACCCTAACTACTAGGGAGGCTGAAATCAGAAGGATCGCAGTTTAAGGCCAGCCTCGACAAACAGTTCAAGAAACCCCATTTCCAAAAATAACCAGAGCAAAATGGTCTGGAGGTGTGGCTCAAGCCATAGAGTGCCTGCTTTGCAAGCACCAAGCCCTGAGATTCAAACCCCAGTCCCACCAAAACAGTAAGTACATAAAAAGGTCAAAGAATCTCAAGTAGAATTTTTTGAAAAGACTTGAACTGAAAGAATATGAAAAATTTTATTTAAATTGTGGGCTGCAGAAAAAGCAGTGCTTACAGGGAAATTTACAACACTAATGATTGTATTAGAAAAGAAAGGCCTCAAATTAGTAATGTAAGCTTCCACCTTAAGGAACCAGGAAATGAGCAAAATTAACCAATAGCAAGCAGAAGGAAACAACAAAAAGCAAAAGTCAATACAACTTGTTTTTGCAAGAGTCATGGGTGTGCCTATCTTAATTGGTTTTGCATCTTGAAATAGTCTTTCTCTTTTTTTCTCCCAAGTTGAACCCAGGGCCTCTCACTTGCTGGGCAGGCACTCTTGAGCCACACCACTTGAGTCACACCCCCAGCCCTTTTTTTTGCTTTTGCTATTTTTCAGATAGGATCTGGGAATTTTTGCCTGGAGCAGCCTGGGATCTGATCTACCTATGGTTGCCTCTCTAGCTAGGATGCAGACATGCACGACTATGCTGGCTTATTGGTCAAGACAGATACATTCAATCCCCACCTCCCGGGCAGGTAGGATTACAGAAGTGAGCAAGGGAGCACAGCTTAAATGTTTTATATTAGAGATTTTTTTTCTCTTTTTGGTGGTCCTGGAGATGGAACTCGGGGCTATGCGCTAGGTAGGCAGGCGCTTTACCTTGAGCCATACCTCCAATCCTTTTTGCTTTAGTTATTTTTTGAGATAGGGTCTGGTGTTCATGTCCAGGCTGACCTGGACCTCCATTATCCTATTTATGCCTCCTGCTTAGCTGGGATAACAGGATTGTGCCACTACACCCAGCTTTTATTGGGTGAGAGGAGGTCTTAGGAACTGTTTGCTAAGGCTGGCTTCAAACCTCCTCCTGATATCTGCTTCCCAAGTAGCTGGGATTGCAGGCTTCAGCCACCATGCCCAGTCTAGAGATTTCTTCAATGCACACTTACTAAATATAAATATTTATGTATATATATACACACACACATATATAACCAATGTTGCCATTTTTGTTTTAGATGTAAGTGGCATGCTCATAATAGATACTTAACATAAATTGTTTTTTTCTTATGTAAGACCTTTTTGTTTGCTTTTCTGATTCAAATATATTCTTTCCTTTAGGAAAAAAAAGTCAATGCAAATGACCAGGGAAAACAATCCAGAAAAAAAAAAAAATCAATGAAATCAAATGCTGGTTCTTCAAGAAGATTTTTTTTATCTTTTTAAAAAGATGAACGTATATTAACAAACAGACAAATTTAAAAACCAAAGGAAAGCATGTTGTCAATATTAGGAATGGAATAAGGGGACAGAAGTATAGATGCTACAGATATTATGAGGTGACATTATTGCCAACTTAAAACTATAAATCCAACAATGGGACAAAATGGGTAAAACCCTCAGAAACTTAACTTACTTAAACTGACACAAAGATATAGAAAATACAATTGCGCTGCTACTATAACAAAAACTAAAACTAAACTCATTCTCCCTCTCCTTCCCCCTCAAAAAAAAAAAACAGGCCCAGAAAATCTTTTCTACCACCCATCTAAGGACAATGAGCACCGGTATCACCAAACCCTCTTACCTCATAGGGCTGGTATGTGAATTAAATGAAACTTCTTTAGCATGTCATGTTACATGGTCACATTAAGCACCATACAAATGTGGTAAATAAAATAAATTCCAGACAACACAATCGTATTTTTTAAAAAACTTAGCTCTTCATCTAAAAATTAGCAGTAGATTTTTTGTGTGTTTCAGGTTAAAATAAAACGTTAAGTTATACACTATATCTTTTAACTTCTGCTTTAACATTTTTTTTTCTTTGACAGTGCTGGGGATCAAACCCAGGTTCTCATACATGCTAGGCAAGTGCTCTACCACTGAGCTACAGTTGTCTATATAATCTTTCCTTTCACAATAACAAAAATAACATACCCTCCAGTCTCTAGTATCTTGTGATTAACCTGTTCAATCTCACTAGGACTTCAACTACCTCTAAGTACCAGTGTTATCCCCATGCTTTGTTTTTCACTTTGAGACAAGGTCTTGCTAAATTGTCCAGGCTGGCCTCAAAGTTGCGATCTTCCTGTCTCAGCTTCGAGGGTAGCTGAGATTATAGACATACCCCACCACACCAGGCCATAACCCACTTTTGTTTTGAATTTAAGGAAAGGAAAAGAATTTGCTAAACTATTTTGTTAAGTCTTTTATCTCCTATTGGCAAGTCCTCCTATCCCAGAAGATATGGTTCAGAGGAAACTGTAAAAAGTTTCCCGTGAACTACTGATTTGTAGATACAAGAATCAAAAGGGGTGGAGCACCTGCCTAGCACAAATGAGGCTCTGAGTTCAGATCCCACTACCGCCAAAAAAAAACAAAACACGGGGGGGGGGTGAAAGGGGTTGTTGATGAATGTAAGTTGAAAAAAGACATCCGTAAGAAGTACAGATGAAACAAGAATGGCCATGATGAGTTAGTAGTTTCTCAAGCTGAGTGAGGGAATTAATTAACCTCTTTACTTTTTGTTTCTTTTAAGTTTTCCCATATTAGAAAGCTAAAAATTACCTAACCACAACAATAAAAAGCCGGCAAGCCCCCAAAAGAGCTGTTTAACGCCAGCAGGAACAGAAAGTGGCTGCGTCTTCTGCGCTTTCCCAGGGCCCCTCACCTAATTAGTAGACAAGATGCAGGAGCGGACTCGGGGTTCAAGTTCGAGTGCCGCCCTCCCGCACCTGGAAAGAGCAGGGCTGAGAACACTAAGAGCACCAGGGCCACCAGCCCGGGGTCGCAGGCTCTATACAAGGTCAAAACCACAATAAAGGGGAAAAGGGGGCAGAGGCCACTGCTAATTTCAGCCAGTGAAAAAGGCCATCTCCTCCAGCGCAACGGGAGACCCCCACTGGGCGTCCCAGGACCCAGCCCAGGAGGCCGCCCCGCCCGGCGGAGGCGATCAGCCTAGAGCGGCACAGGCGACACCGGCCTTCCCCAAGTGTCCGTGGGCCCGAGGAGTCCGGGGTGGGGGTGTCGCCGAAGAGGCCGAGCCCAGGCCGCGGCATTTCCGCCCCAGGGAAGAGACGCCTCGGGACAAGGAAGACGAGGGGAAAGTTTGGCGACTCTACTTCCTAGGGCCAGCGGTCCCCAAGCAGCTGATGGCCCCATCACGTCCCCCCCGCCCCCGCTGGGTCCACAGCGCGGTCCTTCGCGCCTGACCTCGGGCTTGACCCCCGCTTCCAAGATCCTTCTCTTTCTCCTCCCCGCTGACGCCCAGTGGGTCATTTGAACCCCGGGCCGTATCGCTGGCTGGGGAGTACTAAATCCAGCACGAAGAAAAAAGAAAGAAAAAGAAAAGAAGGACAGAGGCCCCTGATTCTGACGATGCCACACTCACCTAGCCGAATTCACGCGTGAAAACAGAACAGACTGACTTGGGAAAGCCGCTCAGCATCCAAAATGGCGGCTCCCTCGGCCTCAGCACAGCAAGCGCGGGCGGAGGGATCCACGGGGCCGAGCTAGCCACGCCCTCCCTTTCAGGGATTGGCTGCGCGCTCGCCGCTGCCGGGACCTACGCGCCGAGGGCTTTGCGTTTCCCACCCTTGGCTCCCTTCGGAGCCGGCGAGGCCGGGGACTACTTCCCGCGGCGGAGGCGCGGGGCGCCGCACAGAACGTCACGGGGAAATTGAGTCACCTGCTGGGGGAGCGCCCTGGATTTTGCCCTGGGCGCGGTGAGGTGGGAGAGGTGGTGGCTCGTTTTGCTAGTCCGTGTCCACCACTTGTCCCGGATTGTTCCAGCTCCTAGAAAGACCGGATCCAGAGCTGCTCGTAAACGCATGGAGCTCTTGGCTGAGATTTGCTCCGGTACCTCGCTCGCTTCCGTGTCTCGTTTTCTGTGCCCCAGTGGAGTGGACCCGGGTTCTTCCCCACTGTCTCGGTTTCCATCTGCAGACGCTGATTGCTCTGTCCCACGGTTAAGGCGAGTCTGATTACCCTTCCAGCCAGGCTCTCTTCAATAACGTGTTTCCACGGCACCACATTCTCTGGCGATTTATCTCTGTGTTCAGAGGAAACTTTTTCATTTGGTTGTCTTTGTTTTTAACTTGAAAACCATTTTCTTGGCTTAGTGGTTTTCTGGGCTCTTTGGCTTTCAGAAGGTGATCCTGCCCCCTGCTGAAGAGGCTTCATCTGCAGAGACCAAAATTGAGGTTTGCTTAATTGCCTGGAGCAGTCACAGGACAAGTACGGAGCTACACGTTATCCTAGATGGCTTATATGAATTTAGAAGTACCATCTTTATAAGCATTTGCAGCATTTCCAAATAAAACCGGGTTCCAGGACCTCAAAATAGTATTTGTTTCCTTTGAAATGTGGAGGACCAGCCGGGCATGGTAGCGATCGCCTGTAATCCTAGCTTCTTGGGAGGCAGAGATTGGGAGGATCGCAGTTCGCGGCCACCCTGGGGGGAAATAGTTAAGGAGACCAACACTCCCGTCTCCAAAATATCCAGAGCAAAATGAATTTGAGGCATGGCTCTGGCCCAAGCAAGAGTGTGCCTGCTTTGCAAGTGTGAAGTCCTGAGTTCAAATTCCAGTCCCACCATAAAAAAAAAAAAAAAAAACTTACTTGCTGGAGATGTGGCTCAAAGAGGTTTACCTGCCTTACAGGTGCAAAGCCCTGAGTTAAAACCCCAGTACCATAAAAAAAAAATTATGTGTTTTTTTTTCAGTAAATACATGCAAATATAAATTGGGTCATTATGCATCAAAATCAGCATTAAAAAAAAAAGTGAGGGCAAACTGTTCTTTTTTAAAGGGCCTAGAGGCACAGCAACCAAATGTCTCTACATTACATCACATTACCAGATGAAGGATGGGAGGTTCCCTCAGCTTTCCAGTTTCCAAGCAAAATCACAGGAACTTGAGATCCACACATGAATTTCAGGGTGTTACGAGAGAGTCTCACAAGGTGGAAGTTTTAGCAAGGATTTGTTTTAATATACCAGGATAAGGTAGGGAAAAATGAGGGGGAAAAGGAAAACATTTCCTGCTCTCCACTCAGGACATGGAAGTGAAGATTCCAAATGTTGCTTCTTATCTGTGGCCTTTACGCTTTCTGGGCTGGGAGAATGCACATAGCCATGTTTTTAGCTGCCTCTAATCATTAGATGATAATTCTGGGTGACTAAGATGGGTGCTGTTTATTATTCTAGAACGTGAAGACCCCGGTAGTCCCCCAAAATGGAAATGTGATATAGGCCTGCCCAAAACACAGAACAATAGGTAAATTTTAGGACTTCCCTGTACCAGACATGCCTTCCAATTTTTGTCTTTTTACCCATTAATGCAAGAGTCTGCAGCTTCTTAACATCTCAAAGGAGACGAAAGATGCAGATAGCCCCTTTGTTTTGTTTTGTTTTGGCAGTACTGGGTGTTGAACTCAGCACTTCGTGCTTGCAAGGCAGGTGCTGTAGCACTTGAGCCCAGTCTTTCGTAACTTAAAATCTAAAAGATGATGGGGGACCAGGGCCGTGCTGCTCTGCTTTTTCAGGTTTTTGTTGTTGTTTTTTGTTGGGACTAGGGTTCGAACTCAGAGCTTGGAGCTTGCAAAGCAGCTGATCTACCACTTGAGCTATACCTCTAGTCCACTTTGCTCTACTTATTTTAGGGATGGGGGGGTCTCACAAACTATTTGCCTGGATTTACCTTGAACCTCTATCCTCCTGATCTCAGCCTCCAAGTAACTAGGATTACAGGTGTGAATCACCAGCGCCTGACTTGGTTTTTTAGTTATTACTTCCTTGTTCTAATGTCTGTGTTTGGCCCTTTTAATATTTGTTCATTTTTATTTCTCTGCACACCTATCCTGCCTCATGTGGGGACCTTGTTTAGATACAGTTAAAAAACAAGCCAACTGGGCTGGCAGAGTGGCTCAAGTGGAAGAGCACGTGCCTAGCAAGCACAAAAACCTGAGTTCAAACCCCAGTGCCACCAAAAAAAAAAAAAGTTGCAAAAGACTTTGAGACAGTTGGGGAAATTAGATTATGAAATAACCAATGCCAAATGACCTAAGAATTGTTATTTTGTTATTGGTTATTTCATAAGAAAATGTACTTTTTATTTAAAAAAATGCATTCTGTATGTAGGGATAATGGTAGTTAAAAGAAAAAAAACTTGATAATTTTTGAACCAGATGATGGCTATTTTTATACCATTTTGTCTGCTTCCAAATAGGTTTTGAAATGTTTGTTGTCGACAGAAGGTGGGAGTATAACAGATACTCAAACTGCTTTTGCTGAAAAGCATTGACTCCTTAACCTGAGCCCATGAATTAGTAAAAGCAGGAGAAAACCTTGGCTTTGCTCTGAACTATTCATCTGGATAGGATGTAACAATAACATGTTTACAAGGAAGAATGGAAAAAACTCCCAAGGAAAGAAACAGCACAGATCTGCAGGACATAGCACCCACCAGGCAAAAATGACTTACTTATCCTCACCAGTGATTTACAGTGATAACTTCTCCAGAACCTCTCTCAAATAAGGACTGAGATAAAGATACACTGGAAACACCTGAGACCAGGACTGTTTACTAACTGAGCACACCTCTCTCCCCTCATCCCTAGTTCTTTATCTGATTAAACCCAAAGCTCATGTCTATACTTGGAGATGACTGAAGATGGGCTGAAGTGCTTGCTTCACTTCTGCTCATAATAAATCTCCTTTCTCTGCCCTTCACCATTAACCATCTCTGGATTTAGCACGTTGGATGGGGTAAGTGGCAGGGCCTGACTTGTGGAAGCCCTGGAATTTGGGCCTGGGGCCTAAAACTTCTGTTTCAGGAGCAACCCAACTGTTCAACAAGGGATGTGCATACACAAAATATGTTATATACAGACAATGGAATATTATTTAGCCTTAAAAAGAAAGGAAATTCTGACAATACTATAACATGAATGAACCTTGAAGGCATTATGCCACATGAAATTCACCTGCCACCAAGGGACAAATACTTTACTTACGTGAAGTACTTAGAGTAGCCAAATTCATAGTGGCAGTAAGTAAAATGGTTATTGCCAGAGACTAGGAAGAGGAAAGAATGGAAAGTTATTTAATAGGTTCAGAGTTTTCCATTTGATTTTTTTTCTGGTACTGGGATTTGAACTCAGGGATGCTTGCTAGGCAGGCACTAATACCACTTGAGCCACACTCCCAGCCCCAGCCTTTCCATTTGAGAAGATAAAAGTTCTGGAATGAATATACAATAGTGTGAATGTATTTAGTGCCACTGAATATACACTTAAAAATGGTTAAAACGGTCTGGAGGTGTGGCTCAAGTGGTAGAGCACCTGCCTCAAAAGTATGAAACCCTGAGTTCAAACTCCAGTACAGCCAAAAAAAAAAAGTTTAAAATGGTAACTTGTATGTGTGTGATGTATATATGTATTAGGTCCGAATTTGATATGACCTGTATCCCTATAAAAAAGGGAGCTTTGAAACAGAACAACATGTGGTCACATCAAGACACAGAGCTGGGTGATGCATCTACAAAACAAGAAACAGCAAGACTGCCAGAAAACCTCCAAAAACTAGGAGAGAATCATCAAACTGATTCTTCTCTCAGCCTTTAGGAGGAAACAATACTGCTGGGTGCCTGATGACTCACATCTATAATCCTAGCTACTTGGAAGGTAGAGATTAGGAGGATGGAGGTTTGAAGCCATCCCAGGCAAGTAGTTCTTGAGACTCTATCTTGAAAATACCCAATACAAAACAGGTTGGTGGAGTGGCTCATATGGTAGATCACCTGCCTAGCAAGTTCTTAGGCCCTGAGTTCAAATCCCAGTACCACAAAAAAAGAAAACAATACTGCCCAACACTTTGATCTCAGAACTTCTAGTGTTTAGAACTGTGAAACAACAGATTTCTGTATAAGACATCCAGTTTGTGGTGGTGTGTCACAGTAGCCCTGGCAAACTGATACCATTCATGACTAGACTTCTGTCCCCAAAAGTTCTATCATGTTATCTTCCCAGAAAGTAAGAGCACCCATTTCCTCAAACTCCCCAAATGGGGCATTATCAATCTTTCAAACTTTTCTAAGGCTAAGAAAATAGTCTAGCCTGCATGGCTTTAAACATTAATATTGAATGTCTTGTGAATAGTTTGTTCATTGTAGTCCTTTACCTAAGGGCCAGGGTGTGGCTCAAGTGGTAGAGCACTTAAGGGCCTGAGTTCAAACCCCAGTACCACAAAAACTAAATAAATAAATATATAAACAAATGTAAAATTTAAGTAATACATAAACCTGCAAACTAAGGGTTTGCATGAAAATAAGGGTCCTCTGACCCTTAGTGTTGCAGTCCCCCTTTCTGGAAGTAGCCGCTGTCACCAGAGTCTTGTGCATTTGCAGAAGTGACTTAATCTCTCTGCCTTGGTGTCCTCATCTGTACAATGTGAATAATGTCACTTCCCT